TGTTGCTCGATATCCAACCACCGAGATCCGTCTGCGAATATTTTGGGGGAAGAGCAATGTCTTTCGGGTGATATACGCTCATGCTGTCATTTTAACAGCAGTTTGTTGGACGCAAATAAAGAACGGCACACTTCTAAACATTAAAATCCAAGAGCCATTTCTCGGATCACGTTTGTGGTCGGGGCAGCTTATTTTGAAGGGCTTTCTGGTCACTCGGGCCTTTAATGACTTACCAGAGGTTTACGTCGTCGGCAAACATTATTTTACGGTACGCGAGATCTTGAAGGCTGTCGTTAGCATAAAGGATGAAGAGTAAGGGTCTGAGAACTGAGCCTTGAGGCACACCACTAGTCACGTCCTCCCATTTCAGCATGTCGTCTCCGATAAAGACATGCCGTTTTCGGTCAGTCAGAAATACCCTTGTCCACTTCAGAAGATTTCCCAGGATGCCGAGGTAGCCCAGTTTATATAAAAGGCGTTGGTGTGGGACAGTGTCGAATGTTTTGTGGAAATCAATGTGCGCGACATCGACCTCGAAGCCCACGTCCAGAGCCCTGATCCAGACCCCCAGGAAATCTAGCAGCTTTGAGAGGCAGAAACTACCTCTCCGGAAGCCATGCTGGAAATTCTGTAAGATGTTACTTTCTTCAAAAAACTGCTACATAGCACTTTTTACTGGAACTTTCATTGTTTTGCACAAAAAGTAAGTCATACTAGTAGCCCTAAGCTACTCGCTGTCATCCTGCTACCTCCCTTGTATAAGGAAACGAGGTTGGCTGTCTTCCACTGCGAGGACAGTCCCTCTGTTCGCATTGACAACTCAAAGACAGTTAAAAGAGGCTTTGCCAGATCCGCGGGTAGTTTCTTAATTATCAGTCCAGAATCCCATCGGCTCCAGGAGACTTGTCGGGCTTAAAATGACTGAGGACGGGTCTCCTTCGACGGAAAAAACAACGGTTTCAATGACAGCAGTGTCCTGGTCCACTTGAAACTCCCAACTGCCTTAGCCCATTTCAAACTCCTGCTTCTCTCCAGAGGACTCCATCGTAAAAACCGATAGAGAAAACGGGGACAGTACTTGCACTTTCCATGGCCCTTAAAATAATAAGTTTCCAAGGCTATCAATTTCTATGTTTTCTCCTACTGCAGGTGTGTTCGTAAAACTTCTTGGGACATATAATGGATTCTGCTGTCAGCCGACGCTCAAAAGAAGTTATAGCAACCCAAATTTGCCCGCGGAATTCATTACGTTGCTCCATATATTTGAAAAGTGTCACGGAATCTTGGATATTCAAGCATTTTTCCCATAGCCTCTGTTTTTTCTTCATGTTTTTGTCATCGGAGTGACTTACGGCGTTCGCGCACATGATCTCATTATTTTTCGGGGCAGTGGTATTCAATACACATTTATTTTAAAACGATAGATGACACTTTCCAAGCCAATTCTTCGGCATATAATTTGATTCAAAAAGGGCTCTGATGATGTCAGTCACTTGGATAGTATTCGAGTATAACCATAAAAAGACGAGTAAATACAAGGTCGATAACACCACTAATAAGCATATCGCAAATATAAATATTCCCTCTTCTCAATTAAGACCTTCATGTAACAAATACCAACATACCATTCGATAACGCTCTATATATTAGTTGTCTGTTAGGCTATATGAGACGATGTTAAGCCTTGTAGGACTATAAAAGATTATGTGCAACAATCGGCCTATCTACCTGTAATGTCATATTATCGGAGACAATACGTTTTCTGTTACAACATTACTTAGATATCAGATGAAGAAGCGATCGCTGGAACAATGGCTTTATTCGCCTGACGTTTCGCGAAATTAATGCAACACTGTTGGCAGTAGAGAACTCGGGTGCAATAACAGCGACCGACCGACGCATGGCGAGAGCCCAAGAAACGGCTTTGGCCCGATTCCATGGTCTTCCAAAGGTGCACAAGGAGGGCGCTCCTCTCTGGCTGTTTCGGCGCCTCATATTTCTGACCGCTGATTCGGACACCACGGTCTGTTCGTCAACGCAATTCCTGGAGAAGCTTAAAGGAGTAAGTCTCTTGCCCAATGAGGTCATGGTATCTTTTGATGTCACGTCCCTCTTTACTTCTATCCCTAAGGATCTGGCAATCGAGACCATCCAGCTACTCCTACGAAACAAATACGATGAAACGGAGAATCGTCTCGGACATGGCCAAGTCCTTCAGCTCCTAAAGTTCTGTCTCAGGACGTACTTCACGTTTGACGGAACAATCTACGAGCAAGTGAAGGGAACACCAATGGGCTCGCCGATTTCGGGATTCATCGCCGAGGCGGTGCTACAGCGGTTGGAGTCGCTGGTCTTCCAACACCACAGACCGAAATTCTGGGCTCGGTATGTGGACGATACCTTCGTCGTCATCGAACGGGATCAGGTGCTAATGTTCAAAGAACGTCTCAACAGCGTCTTCCCGGACATACAATTCACGATGGAGGAGGAAGAGAATAACCAGCTGGCATTCCTTGATGTCCTCGTCTGTCGCAAAGATTGTGGTGGCCTAAAGACCAAAGTGTTCAGGAAAGCGACGAACACGACGCAAATACTGAACTTCAACAGTAACCACCCAAACGCAGTTGCGTAAGAACGCTATTTCGGCGTGTTGAGACGCATTGCAGTGAACCGGAAGACAAGGTTGCCGAATCCCAATATCTTCGACGGGTTTTCCGAGAAAACGGTTACCCACGCAACTTCGTCAACCAGTGCTTGCGCAAGCGAGACGAGCGACAAAATCGCGCCGACCCCAAATTCTGGCGAGCGATCCCGTACATCAAGAACGTCTCCGGGACCGTTAGCCGCCTTCTTGCACCACTTGGGGTTGGAGTTGCGCACAGACCGGAGGCCACCATGAGGCGTCAAATGATGAGACCAAAAGACCCACTGCCACGGCAAGGAACATCTGAAGTCGTTTACCGGATCTGCTGCAGTTGCGGACAAAGCAACTACGTCGGAGAAACTGGAAGACTGCTCCGGACGCGAATCGCCGAACACGTGGCAGCTGTACGGAGAAATGACGCCAAGTCTCAGGTCGCGGCCCATTCGACGAAACCCGGTCACACATTCAAGTTCGATGAGGCCGAAATTCTCGCGAGAGGGGATACTCGCGTGAGCCGCGAATTGCTTGAGTGATGGTTCACGGGACCTCAGTCTATCAACAAGTGCAACGACATCCCCACTCCATATTCTGCCTTGAGGCATAGACTGGCCAAAGCAACTGACCACTCGAAGAGCGCGCAAGCACGTGAGCCAGATGGCCGAGCAATCATCGCGCCAGCACCCAACACGGGTGACGAGATGTCAGCAATTAACAACTTGCATGCCGGCCATCAAGCAATTAGCCCACCAGCGGGCAAAAATCCTTGATGAAGGGAGCAGGGTTAATTGCTGTAGGTATGTGGTAGCATGGCGACCGCATCCTATAAATACCGCGACTTCCTGTACACTAGCCACCCTTTTCTGCAGCTGTCTCTGATGATGGATTCAAAAGGGAATCCGAAACATCAGGCGAATAAAGCCATTGTTCCAGCGATCGCTTCTTCTTCTGATCAACTAGTTCCTGGGACTCGCATCTTTGCTTGAATCGGCAATATCTTAGATATCTTGGATTGTTACTTCCCAGTGAAAGTTTCGTGTTCTTGATACCTATCAATCTTTTTCAGCCGCTTATTTAGACAACTTCAATAAGCCGGAATATCGAAAAGAATTGTAACCACACGGCCGAACGCACACATGCAGAAGTTATGAGAACAAGTATTCGACATGTGTGAAATTGCAGTATGGCAATGGACGTATAAGCGTATAATAAAGGTATAGTATAAAGTAAAGAGGAGTGTTACCTGCGCAACAGACTCACCTGGGGTGGGGAACCTTCCGTCGTGTCTGTTAGATTAGCAGTGAGGAGAGCAACGCTGGAGGTAACTGCAGGGCAGGGACGTGGAGATGCTGACCTTTTGTGAAAGAGAGCGGGACGATCTGCGAATATAATAACTGCGGAGGCGGGGGTCAACCGGGGGCACCGATATCTTCACTGACTCTCCATCACACCCTCCCCTCCCTGGGTCCACGACTAAGTGAGGTCAGTCCCTTCACTTCAACAACACATTTAGCATCGTTGTCTCTTGCACACCCAATTTAGTTAACTTGGAGATAATTCAACGTCAGGCCCAAATCAAAAGTTTCAAAATTCTACGAAAGCCGAACTATTCATGACCAAAAAACTGCCCATCTCTAAGCTTGAATCTGTATGTTGTATATCTCGTTCTTTTTGCTAACTTTTGCCATTATTTTGCCTTGGAATACATTTTTTTAACGTTGAACAAACTCTCAAACCGCGTCATATTAACTAAGCAGGCACCTTAAACAAAGGTTGCCAAAGTGCATTCCAAATGGATGAGCTTGTCTTAGGTTTGTTTCCTGTATTCTAGAGAGACTGAAATTGCCTAAGAGGTGTTAAAACTAACCCATCCTAATCTAGGATAAACCGGCTGCAGTGCAAAATACACGCGACAGACAGAGATCAGAATCCTCCCTAGTGTTTGGTTAGAGATGCTGACGCAAACAACGAGTAAAAGATATCTATCCTCTATAGCAACTTGGAGCCAGCAGCTACCTTTTACCGCGAAACAATATGGAAGTTCCAGGGACAGGAGTGTAACCGTATGCATCATATATATGCAACCTCACCCATCACATGCTGTCTTTAGGCCATTTCGAACGTGGATGCAACCTAGGAAATATTGTTTAAAGCCATCTACGGAGGACGTGTGCATGTCACGGTTATACAACAATTTTTGGACAGTGGACGAACACTAGGGTCTGAAACGACGTTGACTTATTTGGCGAGGTCAAGGCGCTCAGCTCAATTTCAAAGATAAGTGAAGCTTTGAATTTACTTGGATATTCTTAAGCAAGTAATGTCTGTTTTTTATTTGAGTCCCCTTTAAAAGTAACCTTTCAATACAAGGTATAATTTTTCCCAGTTTTGTTTGACAGTCTGGCAAAATAGTCGTATTTTGTAAAAAAAAACCTTTGTTGTGACTCAATTTTCTAGTTTTCTTAATAAAATAACAGTAGTACTTGCTATGCACTGCGTTATTCTGTACGTTAGCAACGTTTTGATCCTTGTACGGTAACGAAAAACTTATTTTGTCGGTAGTGCCCCGCACAGCACGTGCTAAAAGACGAAAGCTTGCGGCCTCCCGACCGGCTCTGGGTGCTAGAATTGTGATCGAAGACATATCAGGTGCCAGCATGCGTTCTTCGCCTTCTGCAGATAAGGTTAACTCACAAATCCCTTTAGTACATGTAGAACCTCTTGACCCTTCAATCGTCCAAAAATACGCCTCTGCTAGTCGTAGCAGGCCATCAGCCGACGAAATACTCGATCAGTTGATATAAGGCGACATAAACAGCACTTCTGAAGAAGTAATTGAACAGCTTTAAACATTATTGGGGTAATAAGTTCTGAAACAGAGGAGAGAATTGAACGCCAGCATAATTTCGTACTGCGAAACATTCCGAGCCACTTATCTGCTATGGAGGGAGCGCATTTGTTCCTACGAACTTGTGGCTTGAGTTTCAGTGTCGCACAAGCTAAGCGACTTCGCTCGCTTAGCCGTAATGAGCCGATACTAGTTAACCTTTTTTCCAATGATAGAAGTCGATTTCATCTTGTCGAGTAGGGAGATAACTAGAGGATTCTGCCGTAAATGGCGCTGCTCCGTTTCGCCAGACCTCACACCACCGCAGCGAGGACTGAATAAAATAAAATCAGCAAAAACAAACACCAGGATAATGACACCTACTGTTAGTCTGAATAAGTCCTCTACAACACTATCTGCGGCCTCTGCACGTCACGACATAGTCAATACCGTAGGAAATTCGACTACTATTGATGCTAAGATCTTAAGAAGCAACAACACGCCTGGGATACAAACGCCCCTAACGACTCCTACAGCAACCCCTAGTAAGCTTAAGCATGTGCCTATGTCAAAGGCAAATCCAATTGCTGTCTCAGCCACTCGGACACCCGAAAAATCCAGCACCATTATAAAATCTTTTCCTCCAAAATTGGCTAACAGTGCCTCAAATACCCCGACTCAAAACATAGCGTGTTTCCAACTGCCCCCCAGCCCTCATATCGAGGCAGTTAGGCCGAATATGCCGATTTTCCCCACCCCCTAACTTGTTTCCACCACGGCCGTTTTACCAATGTTTTCCTCAGATTAGTGTCCATACTGGATCAGTTAACTCATCCGATCCTCAGTTTCGTTCCGGTGGGAATGTGCTGCAGTAAATGCCCCGCGAATTTCCAGCTGAAAATTAGATGGCTAACAATGGTTACCAGTTTATTCACCCGTCATTCCCTGCCCCAATTCATACCCCTTTTTATACACGTCAGAATATTTCGATGTTACCAAATTTTCTGCAGAACTGAATGGGTACATCCGGACCGTTTGCTCCGTGGGCAGCCCAGCACTGGACGATGTAGCCCACCTCCCCCAAAAACTAACAGCCTTTCCCTTCAAACTTTTTGTTTTAAATGCCAGATCCTTGCTTAATAAGATGCATTTACTTCAGACTCTGGTGTTCGTCCATTGTCCGGATATTGTTTTAGTAACTGAGACATGGGCATCAGCCTCAGTAGCTGACTCCGAACTCTCTCTTCTAGGTTATAATTGTATCCGAAATGATCGCCTAGATAGCCGTGGTGGGGGCAGCTGCGTCTACGTTAAGCAAACACTTACATTTTTGTCGCTTGACCTCCGGCATTTTTCCGCAGTAGAAGGCAGTTGCTGGCTCCGGGTTTCACTAAAAAATAAGTCCTACTTACTCGTTGGCTGTGTCTATCGCCCTCCCAACGCCAACGACAATTTTGATCGTTTATTCTCATAGGCATTTCATGCTGCGACCGACTGAAGCTTTAAGTATCAATTGGTTGCGGGTAACTTTAATCTCCCTGAGGTCCGCAGGTATCCGCCTTCAGGCCCAAGAAGGTTCGAAGACTTTCTTGAGGCTGTAGATGTTGGGATGTGAACTCAGGTTGTCGATTTTCCCAACCGAAGCTCAAGCATACTTGACCTGATTTTCTGTAGAGGCTTTATACCTTCGTTTTGTCAGCTCTTGGCCCACTCGGGGGCTCAGACCATGACATAGTTGTTTCAATGTTGGAATTCGAGGCTGACAAAACGTTTTCCCCAAAGTATAACTTTTTCCGCGATTGCCGATCAACTCGCTCAACCGAATTATTAACACACCTTAATTCCTACGACTGGACTGATTTCATCCTTAGTTTGGATGTAAATGTTTGCACTGCGAAACTGTACGAAATTTTGGATCCGCTTATTTCTCGTTGTGTCCCCCGTAAGAAAATTATTAGTGTTGGGGATGAGGTTTTCCTACCCTTACCCTTTCGTCGCAGATTGCGCAGACTTTATCGTCGATTCCATCTTCAGAACGACGTTTCTGTCCTGCCCTTGAGTTGTGATATTTTTGAGCGGGCTAAGAGATTGTCTGAAGAAAAACAGCTAGTCGAAGAGGTCCAGTTTATCGAAAACCATTCGTTTGGTGTCTCGAAACTTTTCT